ACCTCCTGCAGGCGAGGTTGATACTTGGCGAGCTGACTTCGAAGAGGCCGCCTGACCCTGTCAAAGTGATACGACGATAATTATGGTGCTCAGCGAGTTGGTCTATGTCTTCATTCCGTTTTCCTTTCATCTCCCACTCCCGCCCTCCTTGTCGCTGCCGCCCCATCCGCTCCTGACTCAGACTCTGCTTGCTGCCTCTTGGCTGTAGCATTGCCCCATAGTGCCCACCACAGGTGCTTGTGTGACTAGGGATCCAGCACGAACAGTCTTGACTGGTGGTTGTCTGCGCTGCAGAGTCTCAATTCTGGACTCTGTAGACGTTGGGCTTCTGGGCCTGGCAAGGCATGGCTCCTGGATCGCACCGCAATGAGAAGCAAAGCTTTCTTCTCCTTCCTGTGCCGGCCCCAGACGAAATCCATCCCAGCATATAGCCCTTGCCGCACTGAGGACGATGTACCCCCGCTCTCCCTCGCCGCAACGGGAGAAGGAGCCGGAGACGGAGGCACACGAGTCTGTTGTTCGAGTTGCCGCAGCTGGCGCCTCCTGAGTCAGGCTCCAGCTCAGATGACAAAGGCCGCCCGGGGAGATGCAACAGAGCTTGTTGATGCAACAGACTGAGTCAGCTTGCCGACAGATCGGGGCACGAGTTGGAGCATGCATTAAAGCCAAACTCGCATAACATCGTTCCGATGGCTCATAGGCTTTCTTTCTTTTTTTTTTTTGGGGGGGGGGGGGCCAAAGTTACGCGGCTTCAGAACTTGGTCTGGGCATGTGCTCACTGCATGAAGGAGCTGATGTAGACCTCGGCATAGCTTAGCTTAGCTGATATCAGGAAGAGCAGAAGCGCAATGACCGCTTCCAAGAAAACATCAAGAAGGCGTGCAGTCAGGGTCGAGGTAGGCTTTCGGCATGGGGCTCTCCAGAGATCAGCGGGGCAACCTTTGCAGTACTGCAGGCAGTGAAGACGGAAGCCAAGGACTGGAGCACGAAGTACGAGTGCCGTCATGCTGGGAGTCGTTGGAGCAACGGAAATGCGATCTGTGTCAAACTTTCAGGAGCTGAAGAAGATAGAGAAAGAGAAAGGCAAGGAGACGAAGGGCACGGAGACGGAGGAGAAGGCGCTGCGGCCGGAGCGTCGTAGCGTGTTTCCCCCGTGAATCTGTCTGCCTCTTTCCAAGCTGTTCTCTTGAGGACGAGAAGAAAGAGAAGAAGGACAAAAAAGAAAAAGGGAAAAAGGACAAGAAAGGGGGCAAGGAGGAGGCAGAGGAGACAGACGAAAAGCAGGGCAAGAAGTCCAAGAAAGAGAAGAAAGAGGAAGCGGAAAAGAAAGAGGAAGACGAGGAAGACCGCAAGCAGCAGCAGAAAGAAAAAAAGACCAAAGAGAAGGCAAGCAACGTTGTCGCTGCGACTGTCACTGCATTGCAACAGGGTTGATAGCTATTATTGGCTGGTGCTTTTGCAGCCAAAGCGGGCCTGCAGATGTCTCATTCACCTGCTTCCGTGAAGACTCTGGCGGGTATGCTTGCCAAGGACGTCTCTGAGCCGCAAGGCTTCTCTGAAACGCGCAACCTTCTGACAGTGGACGGTAGACGGCGCAGAGGAACGCAGAATCCGGCCTCTAAAATGTTGGCGTCGCAACATGCATCTTCAGCGCTCCGAGTGCTGCAATACATTTCCCGTCCTTGGCCGGTTTCAGACTTGGTCGGGCTGGGTGCCAGGAGTTTCGGTACCATCCGGTTTTGACAGGAGAAGGAAAAGGAGAAAGCCAAGGGCAAAGACAAGAAGGACTTCTGTTCCCTGTGGCGGCAGCCAGCGCCTGTCCGGCATGCAATGGCCAGCAGGATTTGTAGAGTTCCTGACCACCAGCTGCGCAGGAGAAGAAAAAGAAGAAGAAAGAATCTTCGTCATCGTCATCAGCTTCTAGCGACGAGGATTCTGTCAGTCTTGCTCTCAGGAGCGCTTCTCCTCACAAGCGGCTGCTCTCTGAGGATGATGATAGCAGCTCTGGAGAAACTGTCATGGAGGAGCAGGTGTGTACCATGGTGGCTTCGACTTTCGAGCGATCCGACGATCGAGTCGGTCTGGTCTTGTTCACATTCCATTAATCTGTGTTGGAGGTAGAGTGGGTGGAAATTCGTCCCAGCACTGCTGGCGATTCCAAGTATGCTGCAGGCCGACGCATCACAATCGCTGTAGACCTTTGGTGGTTTCAATCATCGCAAGATGCCGTTGCTGGCTGTATAGCATGTGCTTTTGCAGTATACAGTAGGAAACAGTATACCAGCAGTATGCTCGAGCAGAGTTCAAGCAGGCTACAACTATGACTCCGAGGACGAGTGCTGCTCTTCGGCTCGACGGCTCGTCTGAAGATATGTCCCTGATGAGGATGAAGGCTTCGGGCCTATGCCAGCGACGCAGCAGGCTGGGATGCTCGTTGGGGTGTGCAACGATCCAACAGATCTAAGTTGGTTCCCTTTGAAGGAGCTCCTCAACAACATGTCTCAGAGCAAGGGCTCCTACGGAGGCCGGGGGCTGGGGGAGGAGGGGGCATCTTTGGGGTCACGATTGAGACTCTGCTTGGTGCGCACACTCGCCAGGCTACTTGCTCCCGGGAGAGGGAGATGCCATGGCCGAGCGCGGCTCCCGTCTCCGTCTGACTCGTCTGACCTCTGAAAGTGGACAACGTTCCCAGGTACGTGAAGAGCGGCATGCGAATCCCTCGTCGAGGAGAGGTTGGCATCACAGCCGACCAGATTGAGAACCTCGAAGACCTGGGTTATGCCTGCTCCCTATTCTGCAAGGACCTTGTAATAAAAGGAATGAGAAGCAGCTTGGGCGACCGAGGTCATGAGTGGATCCAGGCACCGGCGAATGAATGCCGTGCGTATCCGAAAGGACAGCCGCAAAGTTGCAAGTTCTTTTCAAGTACTGGTACGGTTTGCAGGCAGGCATGAGCGTGCGCGCACGAACGTTTCTGCACGTATGTGCACGCGCAATCACGCACACGCCTGCTCCCGCTCCCGCTGACCGCACGCGTGCGTGCGCACATGCACACGCACACGCACACGCACACGCACACGCTCAAGCGCACGCGCACGCGCACGCGCACGCGCACGCGCACGCGCACGCACGCGCACGCGCACGCGCATGCGCACGTGCGCGCGCGCACGCGCACGCGCACGCGCACACTATATATATATATATATATATTATTATATATTATATTATATTATATTATATTATATTATATTATATTATATTATATTATATTATATTATATTATATTATATTATATTATATTATATTATATTATATTATATTATATTATATTATATTATATTATATTATATTGTATTATATTATATTATATCATATTATATTATATCATATTATATTATATTATATCATATCATATCATATTATATTATATTATATTATATTATATTATATTATATTATATTACATTATATTATATTATATTGTATTGTATTGTATTGTATTATATTATATTATATTATATTATATTATATTATATATATGTATATATGCACGATCGAAGAGACATGTGCGCACACACACACACACATTACAGAGAGTCTTTGCATGTTTGAGAGTCGATTGCAGTCTTTCGCAGGAGAACCAGGTTTACTCTGCCGAGGAGAAGCGAGCGCTTGCCATGTGCCGCAGCAATATATGTAAGTATGAAGGTATGCATTGACAGGCAGTGAATCAGCTAAGCTTGCAATGTGATCCCTACTAAAAGGTACAACTTTGAAGAGAAGGCCAACCGGGAGTCGACTCTGGTCGGCGAGTTGCGCGAGCTGCTGGAGAAGCGACAGAAGGTGTGGAGGGCAGTGGGTGCACCGCGTGGGCGCGCCACGCGCTTTTCTTAGCTGCTGCATCGTGTACATGTAAGTGCAGTGAGGCGATTGCCTCTGCTGTCGGGGATGGCCAGACTCTAGACCAGAAGCCGTTGGCTCAGCCATTTCGATGTAGATGCCTATAGATGCTTTCGCATCATGTTTGGGATTCCAAGCCGGGTGGTCAGGTTCGCCTCAATAGGCGAGCAGAAGAAGTTCATTTGAGGCAGCCGTTCGAAGATGGCCAAACAGCGGTGCATCTGAGTAGGACGACAGGGCGAAACCCCGCGTTCTGCCAAGCAGGTCTGCACATGAAGACGTTGATGTGCGAGAGTTTCACGGAGACCTGCCGGACAGCCGACGTGAAAGAGAGCAGAGAAAAGAATGGTTTGGATTGACATGTCCCCTGTGTGAATCCTTCGGAGCCTCCAGGGTCTTGTGGTCCTGTAGTGTATCTTCACATCCCAGTCTGAGGGGCGTGCTCGATAAAGTGTGCACTGAGGTTTCGACACGGGCTCCCTGAAACGCTTCACCCGACGTGGGATTCGCAGGCATCCTCCCGCAACATTCAGAGCATGGCAGAAGTCTTCACTTCCCGCGTACTTGTACCTTCGACTTCTGCCCTCCCAAAGGCCCTCCGTCTGTCCGTCCCGTTTGCTACGCGTGGAGGTTTCGGTTTCTGTGGCTCAAGAGACTGACAGCCGGCAGCCAGAGGTGGTCTCACAAAGACAATCTACCCGGACCCTCACTCCCAACCCCGCAACCCCCCAACCCCCCAATCCAAGCATGCACAGAGCCATGCAGAACGCACGCAACACCGTCCTGAATGGAGGATCCTCTGAAACAGGCGGATGCTCCGCTCAAGACTCGGGCGTGTCGATGACGGGTCGAATGGCATCACCTGGTCCTCGACTCGGCTCAGTGGCCGCATGCTGCCGCATGCTGCAAGAGAGCTGAGAGCCTTAAGTGCCGTCTCTTTGGAGGCCCTCCGCAAGCCTCCAGGTCTCGTGGGTTTGAGGCGCAAGGACCGCTCCGGGGCCCACTGGGGCACTGCGAGGCCTTGGGGGCCTTAGATTTGGGGTTTTCGGCTCCTGGCGCAGAGCATGAGGACCTCTAGATTGAGCGTTTGCTCGGGATCGGATGGCCAAGTGCCCAGCGCGTGGAAGCGTGTTTCCCACTCAGGGAGGGACCGCGTGCTGTGCTGTGCTCGTCTCGTGCTCAAGGCCGGCGACGTGCACGAGAATGTCTTCAGCGAAGAGCAGCTCTTCACTCCAGATGTCCGGGGCGAAGACGAGGAAGATCTGTAGAAATGTCCAAGAGCATGCTGCTCTGGTTTCGCAGCTTGTGTTTCGATCGGAAGCATGGCAGGACTATCCTGGTGATCGTAGGATCGTGCCGCCAGAGTCTCAGACCTTTCAGATACCTCCAACTGTGCGGTGTTGTCGGGGATTCAGTTCGCAAAGGGTTAGTCGGGCTGAAAACGCTGCAGAATGTCACATGCCTGGAGTGATTGTATTTGGTGAGGCCGGAGTGGTCCTCGGCCATTGCACTCGCGAAGTCGGCTGCAAAGCCACGAGAGGCCGCACCGAGCCGGCACTTACGGAGCTAGCAGCGAGCGGGGCTGCTTCCTGCAAGTGGTCTAAGTTTCATCACAAGGAACACGACATCTTGCACCGACCTTGTCTCAAGACAGGTGCGTCCTGTTGGTGACGAAGCACCGGCAGCATCTGCCGCGGGCCGCAGAAGCCTAAGGGCCTAAGCTTGAGCTCCGAGTGCAAATCGTGCGCAGAGGCAGAGACCGCCCGTCTGAGGTCGGCGGAAGAGGGCTGCAGATCGAGCCAAGAAGACGGGAGTAAAGCTACCGGTAGTGAGCTAGTGCTAGTCAGTGCTGGTCCATGGCAGTCCCCATTTCGGCTGCTTCTTCTGATGCAGGATCCTCGTATGGCTCGAGAGCAAGTACGAGATCCTGCCAGAGGTGCCATGACATGTTGCTGTGGGGCGGACCTCTCCATGGCGACGTCTATGATTTCGGTTGCCTGCACTGAAGCTGTCCACAGGTCTGTGCGGAGTTTGAGAACTGGAAAGAAGCTTCCTCTGCGAATGCCGACTTCGACCTCTTCTGGTGTGATTGTGTGCCTCGCACGTCAGCATGTGCACTGTTGCCGGTGTCAGAGGTCTTCTGAAGTAGATGCATTCGGCAAGCCAGTTGGTTGGTCTGTCGATCATTGCATCCATATCACAAGTCTTGCAGTTTCTCGCCAAACATTGAAGGAGATGCGCCACTCTGCTTTCAAAATGACCGCAAAAGTATCTAGCACCATAAAATTCCTGGCCCCGACACTATTGACTCAACACCTGCAAAGGTTGTGACCAACGCAGCTTCTGGCTGCACTGACAGTTTTTTCGCACGCATGTATGAGCACGGACATGCACACTAGACTCAATCGACAACCGGTTGGAATGTGCTTTCAATAGGACTGCACAAACATGCCATGCAGACAATCCGTGCAAGTGCAGGCCGTACCAGCAGACAGGTTCATGAAGCTCAAGACATACCAGAAGATGAATCACTTCGTGTGGAGCCCGGCTGCAGCAGCTTCAGTTTGCCAAGCCGGAGTGATAGTTTCGACAAGCACTACACAAACAAGGAGAAGTCTTGGCTCCTGCACAGGTGGGGATGAGCTCCATCACCCGCAAGAACAATCTGGGAGTGGATCCCGGCCTTTGCAGTTTGGCATGCCGTGCAGTCTTGGACAGTCGCGTCGCGGAATCAGCACCAGCAGTGTCTCTGTCATACTATAACTCTCTTTCGTTTTCATGTCTCCTGACCATCATCTTCTTCATCGTCAGTATCTTTCCACACGATCGGCATCGCCAAGATGATTCTGATGGTGATCATCGGTGTGAATGTCTTTAGTATTGTCCCTCACGTCGCAAGGTCGCAATTTGCTGCGGATGCGAAAACAGTTTCCGAAGGCAAGTGCGAATCGCAGTTGACCCATAGCCATCATGTGCGGCCCGTTGCAGGAATATCGATTCTTCCCAGACACGTGGATCTTGCCGACCGACATGTCAGACTTCAAGCAACAGCGGCCTGCCGGAAGTTGTGAGGAAAACGTCCAGGCTTCAAAGCAGGAGCTCCCTTCTAGCTGCTGGCCAGGCCAACACCCCATGGTGTTCGACTCTAGGATAGATCTCTGAAGCACACTGCGAATGCATCCACGAATGACTTGATCAACCTTATGTTGCGATTGAGACCTAGCGCCGGGGGCGTGCGAAGAAGTACTGGAGACCCAAAGGCATTATTTCCTCCAGCGAAATAACATGAATGGAATGTACAACCATTTCAACCATTTCATTATTACTAGTCGCAACTAGTGTAATTTCCTTCATCGTTCTCATTGGAGAGGGGTCGATAGAAACAGTGATATCGGAATGGGAAGCCATTTCTTTACTACTATTTGCTCGCCCCTTCCCCCAGCCAGCCCCCTTAGAATACTAAAGATGGAGTCGGAAACCACTTCATTATGATATTTTGCACCCCTTGCATTGACAATATTGCCGCCCCACTCCTGCCAGCCCTCCTACTCCCCCCCTCACAAACACTGACAATGGAATTGCGAACCATTTCATCAGTACTCTTAAGTCTTAGCATCAGTGTTATTATTGCTACGATTACTTTTGCCATTATTGCGCCCCCCCCCCAGCCCTTCTAGGAAACCAGAATAATGAAATGGGACGATGTATTCATCATCAGCTTTTTTTGCGTAATGGAATGGCAAATCAGTTTGATGATTTTATTCTCCCCCCCCCCCACAACCAGCCGCCTCCCCTCACCCTCCGAAATAATAATGGAATGGGAGGCCATTTGATTAGTTGTAGTATTGTTATAAATCTTGTTATTATTGATGTCGCTTCGCTCTCAACACCCCAGCCCCCTCCTACCTAGCAGTGAGTAATCCATACTGGAATTTCGTTTTCGTGTTTAGTTTTAAGCCCGCTCTCCAATAACAACAGCCCCCCGCCCTTCCCCAGCCAGGCCGCCCTCCCGCGGAAATGCACCCTCCACCAAGCTGTCTGCCTTTGAAAAATTCTCCCTTCTCTTTTTTCGACTAATGTTAGATAACACTGCAATGGGGAACTTTCATTGTTATGGTTCTTTGGCAGCTTTCAGATGTGCCCTCAACTTACGAGATCGGTCGTAGTGATCATGCTCATCGTCAAAGCTTCCACATCCTCATCTATGTGTGGCTGCCTCTGTGCATAAGGTTTGCAGCCGCGAAGAAGCAGACCTTCATTATCAAGCCGGACAATGGCTGTCAGGTCCCCCTGCGGTCTTTGATTGACCCTTGCTTGAGCCACTGGTGACACTAGTGTTTGCATTCCGTGCCATGAGCGCTCACTATATCCCTCCAGCGCACATCATGCTTTTTCCACTACTGCAGATTCAATTCATTACTGATCTTGTTGGTCACGCGAAGCCTCTCTTGATTTTTTTACAAGTTGAACATTGTGCACTCATCGGTCGGTGCAGCAGTTGAATTCCCATTGCGAAAGTCGTTCATTGACTCGTTCATTGCCACTCACAGACACGAATGCAGATTCCCCCACCTCCGTGCCTCCCTGCCTCTGCCTGCCTTCCTGGGTTATCTGACCGGCCTTGGACACATCATTCACCTATCTTCGCTGGTCCACTGTTCCGCATGAGCTTCGCGTTTACTTGCTTGCATTCAGTTGTGTTCATTTCCACGACTGGAGCTGTTTGTGCAAACTTTGCATTGACGTTTCAGGAAGATTGTTTTCACGTAACTTCTTTGCAGACCAAACGTATCGTCTCAATCCAGCGTTCCGTGTCCTGACATCTACTCGCTGGTTTGGTCGTTCATCATTCATGTCATTGACACTTGGCATTGCCATCCAGAGAAGGCTTTCAGTTTCTCTGGCTCATTCCTGAAACTTCAACTGGAAATCTCTGTCATCATGAATCATGGGTGCACCATTTACTTCTGGGCTGTGAATCAGTTTCCAGAAAGCACCTGGAAGCACAAGGACCGCTGTGACATCAAGAGCCCGAACTGGTTCAGAGCATAGAGATTCCACTATGCCGCAGCATGATACCACACCATGCGATCCTTTTAACTCTTCGGACTGCAAGCCAGCTGTCATTTTTGATTCATCGATCACGCGGAGCATTCGGTTTTACAGGATCTGAGGCCAAAGAAGGCGAGCAAAGATGCTCAAGTGAAGAAGCCCACGATGAACTCGAGCTGAAGCAATGGATGACATGCTACATTACCGTTGGTGGCAGTACTGCGTCGGAGCAAGGTTGCCATCTTTTGCACTGTAGCTGTCCAGCCAATCCCCTGAGAGATTAGAGAGCTCCGGCATTTGCATTTGTTTCGTTGCTGCTGCAAGTCAGACATGTTGTCCCATGCACCGTGTCATTGAATCAGTGATCGAATTGTTTCCATGCCAGGGCAAAGGCATCTTCTTGATCCGCGACGTCGAGAAGGTTCCGGTCGACTTTTCCTCTACGTACGTCGCGCAAAGGTTGCTTTGACGCAAGTGGCTCGTCAACTGCATTCTGGTTCCTGGGACTGCTCTCGGATCGCATCGCCGTGCATGGGCGGTTGATTCTGCTTCCGTTACCCATGAAGTATTTGCTGGGAGTATTCCTGCCAATCAACACTGCATGAAAGCCGGGGTGCGTGAAAGTTGAAGGTATATCAGCAAGCCGCTGTTACTGGATGGCTACAAATTTGATCTTCGGCTCTATGTTCTGGTGAGTGGCTGTGATCCGCTGCGGATTTTTCTGCACAGGCCAGGCATTAGCCCTGAGCGACATGTCTTGCCAAAGCCATGTGCGGGTTATCAATGTGCAGGCGAGGGCTTGTGCGGCTGGCGTCAGAGCAGTATGCGTGGACCTTGTTTCCGGCTTGTTCTGTCTCGGTGATGTCAGCGCTTGAAGCGAGGTGGAGCCTACGAAGAACAACTTGTCCCAGCCTCGAATTGGATTTCTTGATGTCTCACGAGGCTGCTTATCCCGCTGGAGGTCGGAAGTCATGGTGCACCTCACCAACTATGCGATCAACAAGAGCAATCCCAATTTCGAGGACGGGCTACAAGCTAGCTGTGATCCGCGAGAATCTGCAAGGAAGCCTGAGCGCAGGAAAACACGAATCCTGATGATGCGCAAGATGGTCACAAAAGAAGTTGGGAGGCCCCCGCCACAGCACCCCACCTTTCATTCCATCATGGGTAGTTGCTAGCGTCACCGCGAGCGCCATGACATCCACAAGAACCCACGAGTTGGACACACTCGGATCAGGCTGTGCAAGAGCACCTCCGGCAAGAGGGACACGATGTTGACACCCTCCTTGCAGAGATCGAGGACCGACCCACTAGAGACAGAGCGCGAGAGTACATTCTTTCCTTGGCGAGCACCAGTGTCTGCCAGGATCTGATCGTCAAGACACTGATTGCTGTTCAACCTAGTCTGTCGCACTTCTATCACAGCTGCCAGCGTGAATCTAAGTGGAGAGATTGCCAGCTGTAACGGATGACAGATGGTACAAACGAGGCCAGACGATGTGTACAACGGCATGTGCTTTGAGGCTCAGCTTTACCCTCATCGTGTGTGACACTCCGTGACAGAGAGTTCCATGCAGATCTTGGGCTTCGATGTGATGCTGGACCAGAAGCTCCAGCCCTGGCTCTTGGAGGCTTGTTTCTGCTGAGATTGCTTTTAAGGCTTCTACCGTTGTCAGTTCCTCTAGCCTCCAGATATCGGTGTTGTTGGGCCACGAACCTTGCAGAGATGCGGTATGATGCGTCTCATGTTAAAGCGGAGATACTCGCAGGGTCCTTTATGTGCAGTGAAGGCTTTCCACAATTTCCCAACGACCAGAGCAAGTTCAAGGAAGCCTGAAGTTTCTGCAGGTTAACCATGCACCTTCTTTCGCCACGGAGTCAGAGCTGGACAGACTGGTGAAAGAGGAGGCCGGCTGAGTCCGGGACAGATGGAGCCCAGAAGTAGAGCTCCCAGATAAACAAGGAGACGGTGGATATCGCTGAATCCGAACTGCTCCAAAAGCTTTGTGCATGCTCACAGTACCACCATCATAAGGCTGTTTGTATCCGGTCGATTAAGCTTAAGCGGAGAACGTTCAAGCGACATGAACCTGGGTCTTCTCGACAGGTCTTGCGAGACAGTTTCAACTTGTTGGACTTGAATCCGGAAGCACGCCGACAAAAGAAGCGAGAGGCCGGCAGAGACTCAGACACCGAAAGAAGATGTCAACAAGTTGACCTGTTGACATGCGCAGGCAAGAGAGAAAATGGAGCAGCGGGTGCCTGCCCTGTCAACCCTTCGCATTTGTTCGGCATCCTGTTGTGGAGGGCACTACTATGTGGACATTGCATGCTGACCTTCCTTAGCCCCAGGCCATGGGAATGGCCAAGAAGTACTGCATTGAGGATCGTGTGACGCAGGACCACTGGGATTGTTCAGTCTGAATCTCTGCAGTGGTGGAGATGGGTTGATGTGCAGGAGCGTGAGTTCGCAGTACTCCGCACTGAGTGGGAAGATCAGCAGCTACAGAGTGGCGAGAGCGGGTGCGACCATTTGCTTTCTGCAGCCTTTGCAGTTGCCGCTGCTGGCACATCATGTGGTACAGCAGAACCTAGCTACAGCCTGCAGTCGGAACAGCGTGCTACAGTACCAGGTACAAGAGGCTCTATCCATCTCCAGAGAAAGAGAAGGAGTATTGGCAGGTGGTTGAGATGACGTTGAGAATTGAAAAGGGTTGATGTTCGTCATGTTTGCAGGTGCACGATGCTGCGATTAACATCTGGGAGATGCTGATGGGCGGCACCTTTCGCCGAGCAGCCTCTCGCTCAGTCGAACGCCGACTTGAGGGTTCAGGGCATCGAAGGCAACCCCAAGGAGACAGTAGTCGGCAGTGTAGGCATGGTTGAGGATCCATCCCCACAGAGGCGAATAGGAAGTGACATGACATCTCCATTGCTGCAGATCGCAGCGTTGTCCTGATGAGCCCTTCGCTGAACATCGTCGTGACTGGGCGTAGTGAGCGCTCCGAAGGATGGCATTCCGCGGCGATTTTTTCATGAAGCCTCTCTCGGCGCAGTATCTGCAGCACGGAAGTCACAGGTCCATCGTCAACCCAGGTATCATAGGGTCGCAGAGCCGTGGTGCCTTCCTTGCTCAAGAACTGTAGGACACTGTAGGCGAGTTGAGCAGTTCGCAGCATGAGTGAGGTGCGACTATCCGACCCCGTCGAGAAGCCGGCGATTGAAGACAGGGTGTGGGCCAAATTGAAGCCTCCGCTTGTGGTATGTGGTATTGTCGGCAAAACCATGAAGCCTGAAGTGAGGCTGACAGCAAGGCTCGTGCAGGCTCTGCCAAGACAGGACTGAGCCGCCAAAGTGTGCAGCCCTTGCCGGAGATATGCAGAGGCCGTAGAACTCCGCAGCCGTGTGTGCAGGAAACGAGGAAACTCCAAAGCCGGAGGCGAAGCGCACAGCTGAGGAGATCCGCGAGGCGATGTGGACGAGGGTCAGGGGCAGGGCGGGCCGTTCACTCTGTCTTTCTTTCTTGAGCTTGCTTGTGCTGCTCATCATTTTATCTAGGTGGTGGAGCGCTTGGCACAGGGCTGCAGCGCCCGACCCCGGCGCAATGCCTCGAGACGCCGCTCTGGGAAGGCGCGCTGCAGGGCGTGCTTTGGTGGTGAAAATCTGGGGCCTAGGGCCCTAGGGCCTAGGGGGGCTGGTGTGAGACGTCAGGAGGAGGAGAAGGAGGAGAGCGCCTCCATAGGCCAGGTACAGCGCCACTGTCAGCTCCCAGATGCTAGCGTTCTGCAAGCTGAGGAGCGCCTCCAGCTTCCGAAGAGCCGCTCGAGAAGACTGCGCAGCCGGAGAAGAGGCACGGCTGTGCTGACTGCCGAATCATGCTGAAATGGTTCTGGTTGCGGTGCAAGTCTAAAGTGTTTGTTGTGGGTGAATGCAGTCGCAACCAAAGCCCTCGGCATGAGCATCGTCGTCGTCGCCATATCATCGTCCTCCTCCTCTCATCATCATCACCATCATCACCATCACCATCATCACCACCACTACCATCATCATCATCATCATCATCATCATCGCATCCTCATCATCGGTGTCATCATCATCATCATCACCATCCTCATCCTCATCCTCATCGTCATCGCAATCATCATCATCATCATCATTATCATCATCCCATCCCATCCCAGCATGACGTACTTGCCCCTCTGAAAGGAACCACACCAACAGGTACGTGGATGTTCAGGCAGGGCTGCAGCTGGATGATTGTCCCTGGATGATGGACGGGATCGGCCTGCATTGCAGGTGGGAGATGTTATCAAAGTGCAGACCAACTTGGGCTGGGAGACGGTGACAGTGAGGCCGTTACAGTGTAAGTCGAGTCTCGGATGACATTCTGATTGCTCCAGGGCTAAGCGTCCCGGCACTGGCAAGATCGATATCCAGTTCAAGGATGGAGAGTGCGCATGGGTGCTTGATCCTGTTGATGATCCGTTCTCTGCAAAGCAAGCTCCCGGACAGGTACATGCGGGCTGTCATGCCCCGGATTCTGCGCAACGGCGAGGGTCAGCCAGTGAAAGAGGCTGCTATGCCAGAGGCTCCGGAGCGCCGGAGTTCAGAGGAAGGCAAGGACAGGGCAGGGCAGGGCAAGTGCGCTGGTTCAGGGCCAGACCTCGCCGACCTTGCCGGCAGCTCCCGGACGCATCGGACGTCTTGGAGGTGTCACCGAAGATGCTGTAAAACTTAGTGCTGTCAGATCGCGGGCTCAGGCAGCTCTGCACCGACGGCTCCGGTACCGACCTCACAAACCGGAGCAGTGCCTCAGAAGCTAGCAGGATACACCCGAGGCTGGGCGAGTGAAGAGTGCTTCATGTCATGCAGTCAGTAGTGTTTCCCGGGTAGGTGGCAGCAGTCCTGCCGGCAACTCCAGAGGACATCCCTTGCCTGCAGCCGCGACGCCAGATGGGCAGTAAAGAATCAGCTGATGCTGGTGCAACTTGAGGCTGCCAGTGATGAATTCACCTCCGAGTCCGCTGTGGTCGCAGCCCAGGAGCAGTTTCAGCATGCGGCGGGGCTGTGCCCGATGTTTGCTCAACTCCAGGATGCGCTCGTCGGCGTGCTTTTGGAAGGTTGCGGTGTTACCGAGATGAAGGATGGAGGCCGAAGCCCTGGTCTTTTCGGATTTGTAGAATGTTGCAGACAGAAAGACAGATTTTCCATGTTGTTCCATGAGGCCACGCTTGCGTGTCTAGATGACTGCGTCAAGTCCAGGAGCAGTTAGTAAACAATGCCTCACGTTGTATGTGGGAGCGCATTGTATTGCTGAGAAGCTACGAGCACAACGTGTTGCTGAGTTCCGCAGTCGCATCGAAGAAAAACTTGGCGCCGAAGCTTCCGGGGACCCGATGGTACGAGAAGCCCGCCTATGCAAGAAAGCCCTCGGATGGGTCAGAAGGAGGCCGCTGAGCACGCAGCTCACCCTCACTCTCACTTTCACATTCGCTCTCGTCCTCGCTCTCACCCTAACTCTCGCCTGCGGTAATTGGGCTGTTGCCGGCGCAGCAACAAGATGCCGAAGCTTCGAAAAGCAGCGTGTTCGTGCTATGCGACGGTGCTCGGAGCGATGACGAGTGTTCACTTTTATGGCAGTCTTTGAAATCGCCGAAACCGAGGGGAAGCCGTCGTTGGCTATTCCGCCCCGGCAGGCCTTTCAGCTCTCCAGGGTCTTGTAGTATTGTAAGGCGACACCACCGAAGCGTTGAGGCTGAGCAAATTCTTAAGAAGCTCCAGCCTTTCGCCTCATGCTCGTGAGAGCCACGCGATGGGGACTTGAGTTCGGGGTGGAGCTTGGAGAGGTGATGGTTTGCCGAGCCCTTCGGCCAGCACTGTGAGTGCTCCAGGCCGGGGCACTTTGTCTTCGAGTTTTGAGATCCGTGTGCGCATCGGCGCATCGGCCGGTGCAGCCTGAGGACGTGGCGGGCGCTCGGTGCCACCCCTGGGAAACCGGGCTCCAGCAGCCCGAGCCCAGAAGCCCCCTTGCAAGCCTGCTCTGCTACTTGTACTACCAGCTGAAGATCCAAGGTCCGGTTGAAACAGCACTTGCAGCAGCTGATCTCAGCGCGGCCGATCATCGCTCCAAAGGCCTGCCAAGGCCTGCCCAGCCCGTCAGCCCGTGGTGTGCCAGAGCTGACTGAGGTGGGCCGAAGTGGCTCGATCCCACGAACTCAGCAGACAGCTCCGGAACCCCTGCTAGGCCAGGCCTGGGGTGATCTTTTGAAGACAACGCCCGGTCCCGGTTGCTGCGAGGCCATGGCCTCATCGGATCCGCTCTGGCTCCCAAGGAGAGCAAGGCAGCCAGGAGCCGCGGGCAGCCGCACCTGTGCTTGTTTTTGTCAGCGCCCCTGTCAGTGTTTTTGCGAGGCGATTGGATGTCGGCTTAAGCCGGCCACCTGAAGTTTCAGGATAATTGTCGGAGGTCAATTAACAGGATGCAGACCACCAGAAAATAGCACAACCAGAAGCATTGCTGACCACGTTACAGGCACTGTTGCACGGCTGTTGGGTTCATTGCGCATGCACGGCTGGCTAGCCATGACTCTTGTGGTGAGTGTGCGCAGGAGACGTTCATCGGACACATAGCTCGTGCTTTGGTGACAGGTTTCACACTGTTCAGACGACCCCCGCCCCGACCCGTTGCCCTTATGGTTGAGATCATCTTTGATCATATAGATTGTCCAAGTCCTGCCCAGACAGAGTAGGTATTCGTAGATCAGTAGATCCATGCGGAAGCTTGCCGAGCACCCTCGGATGGAGTCGGGCTGACGCCGAGCCCCAGGTGTCCGCCAGAATACCTTGGGGACTCCGAGAGCAGACGCAAGCCGAAGCCGGCGAGCAAGACCTGCCCAAGGCTGCTACGAACTTTTGGGGCGTTCTCACATACTCGCAACCGGGAATTGCCAGAAATCTCTCAGAGGTTGCAGTCCATTCTACCGCAGCTTTCAGGAGTCCATTTTGCACTTTCTCGCCCAATCCGCACTCTCAAAGAGATGCGGATTGCGGCTTAGCAAAGAGTGCGAGTGCATCAACAATCAACATCAAGCAGCATCTCTTGCAGGGCCACCGGAAGCAGCGACAGTATGCTGCCATCGAGCAGGCAGCCTTTTCACATGCCAGCTCCGTGCATGATACAGCAGGAACGTAGTTGAGGCAGTGCCTACAGAAGCCACCAAGAGTCCGCTACGCATAGTACGCTCTAGTCCAGCCTGCATGCTGCTTGATGCAGGGTAGGGGAGATTGCAAGCGCTTCAGTCTCCATTCCAGTAGTACCAGGTGGCATGAGCTCACGGCGATGTATGCAACCTCTATAGCCTCAGTCCATCCTGAAGGGGCCAGACACCAGAATGCTCGAGTCGACCCTGTGAGCGAATTCGTTCAGCTCTTGCCTGCCACACCTGCCAGCTTGGACAGGACCAAAATGCTCCTCTTCGAGTGTATGGTGCATAACGCGTGGGCTTTTGAAGCAGGGAGGATAAGGATGCAGGCTCACAGCTTCGATCAACGACCGCAGTGGCCCAAGTTCTCCGGGTCTTGGGCCAGAGTCCGTCAGGGCATGGCACGGTCAAGGCAGGAGCTGGCGCAGCCTTCCAGGACAGGCGCTGTGCTTTATGGAGGTGCTTTGAGCATCTCCAGACTTCTCACGGTCGTGCTGACGGGCATCCGTTGCGAAGCCCAGCAGTTGTCGCACTTATCGGCGTTCGCGCAAGGCTCGGGCCTTTCGATCGCCCTGGCAAGGTTCAATGTGGAGTGATGCAGCAGCTTCGGAGCAAGAGGCTGGCGGCCGGTCTTTGATGCAGACTTTTCTGTCCGCACGGCGTCTGGTGAGTTTTCGTGCATGAACATGTCTGCAGGCAATGGCGGCTTGTGTGCAACTGACTGAGGAAGGTTTGTGGACACAACGGTTGGCCGAGCCTCGCATCGCTTGGCCGAGGAAGCTTCGGAGGAGATTCGCCTTGCTGCTGACTTTACAGGCTCAGAGCCGAGCCTAGAGCCGGACCGAGAGCAGAGAGAGCAGAGAGAGAGAGAGGCAGTACTACTCGGAGTCCGATGGCATGCGGGAGACATGCACGGCTCTCTGCTGATGCTCTCCGTCTTGTGCATCGGGGCCTGAGCCTGAGCCTCGCAGGAGTTATCAAGCCCAAAGTCTGCATGTCCTTTGCTCCGAGTTACTTGCAGTGACTGCCCGTATCGGTGAGGTGCTGACCCAAGCACAGCATGGCACGTAGGTTTTGAGGAGCGCATTGCGAGATGCACGAGGTGGATGGCATCTACTGTGGCTACTTTGCTTTGATCGGCTTGGCCCCGGACCTGGACTGGAGCACGCAACACTGCAATGACGGCACGGTGCCAATGGCCTGGATGTCCGGTGGAAGCAGACAAGGTCTCCGGGTTGCTAGATCTCAACCTGGCGTTGGAGAAGCTTCTTTGGATCGAGTGCCCTAGTGGCAACTACTTTGAGTGTTAATGAGTGCTGGCCATGGTGCAAGGCTTTCGTTGTGCTTTGTGCACAGGTGGGCTCATTGGCGAAAAGATGGAGTCCACACTCACGACATAGCCCGCAGTTGCCCAAGCTACTTTGGGACACCGGATAGTTTGCCTCAGACCGGACATGATGCCAACGTTCCTTCTGTTCACGGAGTGGTCCTCTGAAGACTTACGCGAGACCATAGCATCCCGTTCTATGTGGTGAGCACGCGAACAAGAACACAAGTTGTCGGCAACCCGCTGCTCAGGGCTGATGTGGCCGGGCTTCTTTACCATCTGTGTCCCCGGCCGAGACAAGATATATTGAAGTCTGAGACTGTTCGAAATACACCTGCAGCTCATTCGGTGTTGTGTAAACATGACCAGGCCTAGCACAGCCGCAACACACAAGCAACACACAACACTTCCAGCATAAGAATCGTTGAAGAGCCGCCGGTATTCATGTGAGTTGTGCATGTAGCATGTGCACATACTGTCACTTTACTTGCTTGCCTGCTTGCGTGCTTGCTGGCTTACCTTTCTTGCTGGCTTACTTGTCTACTTTCTTAGTTGTTTTTGAGTTCTCAGTTCAACAGATTTTACTTCCTGCCTGACTGACTCACTTACTTGCTCACTTAAACACTTACCCACTTCAGTCGTTACACTTCGTTGCATACTTCGGTACTTGCGGACTTGCTAGGCTGCTTGCTTGCGTGCTTGCGTTCTTGATTCCTTGCATGCTTCCTTCCTTAAATTCCGCCCTTCCGCAGGACCCTGAACTGGCTACCGTACCGGCTACATGTTGCAGCTCGTGTTCTACTGTGTAAATGGTGTGCCGACTCGCACAATTTGCTCCGTATTGTCACACAAGTAGTGACCTCTTCTGAAGATCTGGAGTGATTGTGCTTCGCTCTCAGAGACACAACAACTCGCCTCAGGCTGCGTCACAGCTGGCCTCCGCCTTCACCGCATACCTTCTGTACAAGGATACTTGCGCTGATTGCACTTGCACGCGATCCAGTGAACAGATCTGTCCCCGATGTTGTGATGTCAACCTGAATCGAGGAAGCCGAGACATTTGACGATGAGTCCTGCCGTCGGGTATTTGCATGCGTATTATAGCTGTCGCCGACAAGGCTCCTACGGCATGCCCCTTATTCCCTCAACCTCCACTCAGGATGATATTTCAGCTTTCATGCAGCTTCCATACGTAATGTGAGCGCGGGAACAGGTCTACGCGCATAGGCTCCTGGTGTAGAGCGTTTGACATGGCAGGGACGAGCCGTTCTTTGCAACAGCCGAACAGGCGTGCAAGTGCTGCGGAATTGCTGCATCAAGCATTCTAAAGCGCTTCGAGATAACTCTCAAGGCCCGCATATACAACTCCGCACTGCAGCACACTGCCCCAACCTCAGCGAAAGCCGGCTTCGAAATTGAAAGTAGAGAAGTATCCTGACTCTTTCTTGCTAGTCATCCGTTCTGCATTCTGTGACTCCGTGCATGTACATGATTTTACTACAAGGAGAGACCGTCAAGGTCCGTGGAGTGCTCAGAGAATCGAATGCTAAGCTGTTCGGTCGCGGTCCGCGGTAACCGAGGCCCGCTCGGAGGGCCCTGTGAAAGCCTTCGCTGGAACAGCCCACAAGCTCCTGCTGCGGCCCTTTTGGGTGTTGGGCCTTGGGCCCGTCTCTGACTGTGCCCTGGTGTCCCTGTCCCGAGGCCATGAGACACGATCCAACACGGATTGCGCGAGGCAGAACCAGCGAGAAAAGAAGGGCTGAAGGCTCTTTCTGCATTCGGCGTCATTCGCCATGGTGCAGCCACCGCATGTCACATGCCACTGCTCTCGCGTGCGCATGTGCACGTCCACGTCGCGGGCAAGAGGATCAAACAGCTCAGTGCCCGTAGCGCCCCTGAGCTCTGTGAGCAGAGAGTTGCATGTCATGAGATCCAGCGTGTTATCTGGTGCATGGCTGAAGATCCCAACCACTCCGCGCCCTCCTGAGGATATCTTCGATCTGTCTCACTCTCACTCCATTTACCGAGTTCCCTGAGATGCTGACTGTTGCCTTTGACTGAAGCTTTCGACATGAGGCAAGCCATTGGCTGCAACGTGTGCCAGAAGAGAAGCCCGAGGCGACCAAGGCTTGCCACGGTTCGGCACAGCTCTTCATCGTGTTTGTGTATTTTCGCGTCCTTTGCGCCCGAAACTAGGTGCCTGTGAGCCACGTGCAAAGCAGCCAGCTGGTTCAGCTCATCCTTGATCAGGCCGCGTGCTTGCGTACATGGGCATGCGTGTACTCCTTACGTCGCCCAGTATGCCAAGGAGGTGGCAAAGACCATAACAATGACGAAAGCATGCAGAGTGTTTTCGACATACGGTGCTGTTGCTTCAATAAATTTGACGCTGGGCTGCAGACACAAAGAAAGGACACGCAGAACGCACCTGCAAAGCTAGAATCGCCGAATCCAAGGAGCGACTGCTCCCGACACGGACTGGTTGAAGTGAGCCCTGTCAGCAGAAAGCACGGCCGGCTACAAAAAGCATCCCACTGCAAGCAGAACTCATGGCAGGAGACTCCTGGGTGCTCAGGTCATACTTCGATACGAGCTCTGCTGAAGCTTTGGTCGCGGATGCTGGGAAAGGGCTGGCAGCCCGAGAAGCCGAAAGCGAGGACCCAGACCGAGAACGGCAAAGTGCTGCCTTCATGTGAAAGATATATCAGAAAGCAGTCAGCGAACGGTCTTGACGACTTACGACTTGTCAAGGATGAGTCCCTGACCGGCGCAACGCAGGCATCGGGTCTTGGGGGTTTGGATTCGCCCTTGACGAGTGTCAGTGGCATGGCAACTTGGTCAGGCGATTTCCAGCAGTTACAGCGTTTCACAAACCGGTGCGCCGACGCTCTACCCTGAAGATGCGTCAGGACTGTCAGGCCGCGGATGCAACACGGACGGCGTCCGCAGACGGTTGTAATGCTGATCCCTGGTGTATTTTTGTTGTTGTTAGTGTTGCCTGAGACTGGTCGTCTTTGGGACTGCCGCAGTACCATCATCAGCAGCAGCAGCAGCAGCAGGATTCGCCGGGAAGGCATCACCAAACACTACCACCGCCACCGCCACCGCCACCGCCACCGCCACCGCCACCGCCACCGCCACCGCCACCGCCACCGCCACCGCCACCGCCACCGCCACCGCCACCGCCACCGCCACCGCCGCCGCCGCCACCGCCACCGCCGCCGCCGCCACCGCCACCGCCACCACCGCCACCACCGCCACCCACCACCGCCACCACCACCACCCCACACCACCACCACCACCACCACCACCACCACCACCACCACCACCACCACCACCACCACCACCACGACGATCCACCCGCCAGGGTGGAAGCAAATACTTACTCATCTGCCGGTAGGGAGACAGCATCGCACATCGTACCGGTAGTATTGCTGCCAGCAAATACGAACGTAGTGGAATGCCACACCAATGAAGGACCCTTCGATCAACCCCGTGGAAACGCGCAAGGTCTTTCGAAGCAGTACACTACTTGTAGCGGGGGCGATGCGAATAGCTACCCGAGATGACTACTGCTTTGCACGGACTTGTCTGGACCTTCCACTGGCAGGCAGTTCGGATGCGGGGAGAAGTCAAGTTCAAGCCTATGGCGCATCATTCACCGAGTTGCAAGTTGTGGCATTGGTCGACAAGCTCCCCGGACATGTCTGGATTTGTCATGATTCGTGCTGTCATAGGCCATGCTCTCGTCAGTCCTGTCCTTGCATCCAAGGCTAACAGAGAGCCAGAATAGGCAGGTACAGGCACGGACAGCCTCAGCAAGATGCATCCGAGTTCCTTCGCACTGGGTGAGAATCTAGTCCTTGTAGCGAAGGGAGGGTTTTCGCGAGGTGCGCTCGCAAATCAACGATTTCCGTTTAACAAGACACGACACAGGCGGGGAACACGGGCACATTTAAAGGACAGAACACGATCCGCATCAGGGTCATATCAGACAAAGTGGCACCACCTCATCAGCTCAATCCAACGGCCTTTATCCGGGGGGAAACGAGTGAGGTGCTCGAAGTAAGCAACAGCTCATTTTGGAAGCTATGTGCGTACAGCATGCAAAACCGCGCACATCAGACAAATCCGTTGTTACCAATGATGGCACGAATGCTGAAACGCAGCGACATGTCAGTGGCAAGCTTGGGTAAAGTACGAAAGCTTCCATAATGTGCGACGACCGGCACTGTGTGCATTCGACTTCAACATGTTCGATGTTTGTGTGTGCGAAATCTCCATGAAGTTACAGACCTTCCTTCAGGGTGTCGACATCCCGGCTGCACATGCTGTACCGCTCCCCTTTCCCGAGTCGAAGGTCGGGGCTAGTCTTGTCGTTTCTAGATGCCGTTTTGAGACCCGAAGGACACCTCTGCTCTGCTCTCCATCAACCTGGTGCGCACTGAGATTCGCACATGTTGGGCCGTTGGGGCCTAGATAGGCCTGGAGACTCTGTGTGCCCAGATTTGGGCAGGACAAACTGGAGAGCGGCGAGGACACACGGACGACAGTCACCTGGCATGCATGTTCTGCGAAGGCAGAGCCGGACTCGCACTGCAGACTAAAGTGGGTTCGCCTTGAGGTCTAGTTTGAGGGGCATGTGTCTTGATTTTCTGGCCAGTGCTTGGCCTTGAGCGCAGACTTGGTTCCCTCCCCCTTGTAGCGGTTACTGGACTGGTTCTCAATGTGAATGTCGACTGATTTTCTCCTGAGGTCATGGTTGCCAGGATACCCAAAACGTGCACTTCAGAATCTCGGTGCATGTATGCTCTGCTTGATCTGGAGCGTACTGAGTAGAAAGACAGTCTCAGGAGCGGTTCCTGACCCGATTGCGCGACCTAGATTTGCTCAACAAGTTGAGGCACCTATTCTGAACTTAGGGTTCCCATGTGGCACAACAGGTAGCTGAACACTCATTGGGTCAACTGCAGGGGTCTGAGATCCTGTCCACATCCAAAACCGGTGGCGGTCTTCAGTCTTCAGGGTTGGGCCTGTTTCCGAAGTCGGACGTTCCTGCTCAGTGAGGGGTGTTCAGAGGCAGCGTGCAAGTTTTTGTTGCCTGGTTGTGATGAGATTATATATACGCTGCGTTGTAAAGCCCAGGTTTTTCTACATGCCCATAGATGTTTCACGAAACCGGCCCTGTGGCAACTTGGCAGAATAAAGGTGTTACGTTTTCGGATCTTGCAACTTGTTTAGCCAGTCTGTCTGGACTTGCGTTGGTCTCGGTGACCGCTGTGGTTTGCCATGCGGTAGTGAAATTTTGAT